CCAACTTTGTCGACGTAATCCACTCTAACGGCGACAGTTTCCTACGGGGAGGCCTGGGATCGTTCGCGCCCATGGGTCACGTGGACTTCTACCCCAACGGGGGTCGGGTGCAGGTCGGCTGCAACTCGGTATTTATGGGCGCCCTGTCGGACATCATATACGGCAAGTGGAACTCCCTGTGCAACCATCGGAGGGCGTTCCGCTTTTTCATCGACTCGATCATCAAGACCTGCACTTTCCGGGCCTTTGCCTGCGATACCTATGAGAACTACTTGAGGGGCGACTGTTTTGCTTGCGGGTCCGATGGGGTCCAGTGCTCTAATATGGGCTATTTTGCTCATAAGAGCACCGGTAGGGGCAATATGTACTTGGTCACCAGGGAGAGTGAGCCGTTTTGTGGTCAGTATGCATTTTGGTATTATTGCTAGTGTCTAGTTGAATTAATTTTATAAATTTATTTGTTAATAGCTTAGTTGATATTAAAATAAACAAGGTTTGATAAATTGTTTTATAAAATTACTTATAAATATTGCATAGTTTACAAATTAAATTACTTTAAAATTTACCCTAATTATTGTGTACAGTATTAGATAGTATTAAAAATATTAATCTAATAATTTATTGGAATATTAATTATTTTTGAAAATCATTTAATGAAAGTTGAGTTGTAAGTAGAAAATAATTTTTAAAAATGACAAGCACATTAGTGACCAGGATTAATAAACTACACATTTATGAAAGCAATGTTCACGCCTATATAATAAAAATGTTATATTTTTAAGTCTACTCTAATGTCCAGTAATATTATATGTAATCTATTGGATTAGCTTTTCCATTGAAAAACAGGTTTAAAATGCATTTAAAGCTATTTTTACAATAACTTGTGGTTTTCATTGAGACAAACAAAATAGCACTTAACCAAAAATACCTATTTTAATGGTCAGACATCACCCTGGTAGCTAATTTATCCGAAAAATATGTTTACTAGTGAAATGATTTTATTTTCAGACAATGAGTGGGTTTAAATTTTAAACTTTAAAACTTTTATCCACTTATAACACAAGTCTGAATAAAAGTCATGAGATTTTTATTTTATTTTTGTTAAAACCATTTTCGTAAACACATTTTAATTAGCAGTATATTTGCTGTGGACTTAATGTTTACACAAAACTATAATAATAATAATCATATTATTCTGCAGACTATTTACTAGTTTATCAAAAATTATCGTAAATATAATTTTATTTCTAGATGTATACTATAATATAATCCAATAAAATATTTAAACATTTTATGTAAAACTGTAACATAAATTTCATATTTTATATCAAATATTTAGCAAGTTTTGAAAATTACATTACAGTTTACACTAGTACAATTTAATTTTATGCAACTTTACACATTTAAATTAGATATAAAATATTCTACATTATTAAATACACTAAACATACAAGCTAATTACTAAATAATTTATAAAATAAATTAGTTAAATAAAAAAATTATATTTATACTTTATAATTAATTATACATTTGAATCTGAGTTTACAAATATTTAACCTTGCTATATTTTTATCTATAATAGCCAATCAATACAAAATACGTGTGATCAGCAGCAGTGGCCAGGGATCAACGTGGGGTAAACTGGAGATATTATTCGTGGCCAGGGATGGCAAGAATGAGACATTCGTGTTGACCAATGAGGCCGACGAGATCAAGGATACCGGGTTTATACAGGTATGACATCCAACCACCCACCCCACCTTAACCCAATTTACTATAGCCTACTAGTGCACTTATAAACTAAAATAATAAATTTGTACAAGCACAAATAATAAAATAAAATTTTTCTAGCAATCTTGCTAGTATATAAGTATTTTAAAAGTTGTTTTATATTTTGGTAAAAGTTATATATTTTTAGTTGTCATACACTAGGTCAATTGACTTTTAGTAGTACAATAAATTAAATAAAACCATTTATGTCACCACTTTATACCTCCCAGCCCTTTGATAGATTAGTACATAAGTTAG